CTAAGGTAAAAACGAATTCAGTGTTAAACTCCGCCCACTTACACCTCTTTGCCCCTCACGCCTAAGTACTACCTGACTGTATGGTAGCGACAATAATTGAAATATTTGTCAAGATTGAAAAATAAATTTGAGTTGCCTGGTCCGGCCATTGTCTAGTGCAATAGACGACAATATAAGGATGGCATTCAGCCTTTTCACAAACAATTTTAAGGTGCTTGTAATCTATATTATGAAATTCCGATTTTACTTCAGAAAAAACGCTAAAAATTGATTAATGAAAACAGTAAAGGTTTTCTAAAAATTATTTATTTATCAATACAATACAAAAAAATAACAAAACATAAAATACATAATAAAATTAACAGTGATAAATTACATCTTATGTAAATTACTTTTTTGTAACTTTTCAAACAAATTAATTTCCAGAATTGATGCAAACTAAAATATTTTAAGCTAATATACAGAATTTATTTCAAAATTTAGTCCATTCACTCACGGTAACATATTGCAAAACCTCCTAATTTTAAAGAATCGCTTGAATTGACATGAAGTTTGGCTTACGCCTAGCTAAGATGTCAAAGAAAAAAAATTATGCTTTTGCCCTATGGTTCAGTATCAACCCTTCTCGGGAGTGAAAAAATATATGTTTAAGACAAGTTCGGAAGTGCCTAAAATCAGTAATTCTAAACAACTTTTGTTCTATAGAGTTTTTTCACTAAGTCAATACTTTTCGAGTTATTGAAAAATAGTTTCTTATTCGTCAAATTCCATGTTGAATATTTTCAACGTGAAATAATCAAAAAATTAAGCACTTTTCGACGAAATCTCATTACAACTTTTTTTAAAGTGTTTAAAAAGGTTTATTTTTGTTAAATTTCTAGCATCAAAAGTAAGCAAGCTATGACCAAAATATTCAGAAAAGCAAAACCTACATTTTTTTACTCTTGTGATTTTTGATATCACTAATAAATTTTAAGTTATTTAAAAAAAATTCAATATTAAAAAAATTGTTAAAAAATAAGCCCTTTAAACAAATGAAATTTATAGATCATTATAATAATACTATAAAAACAATGACCAAGGTATTTATTAGAGAAATCAGGACACGCATTGAAATTGCCAGACAAGCATTTATAAAAATGAAAAAAATGTTTTTTAATCGAGATCTTAACTAGTTTTGATGGGAAATAAGCCACAATTTTACTAAAAAACAAATGATTTTATTAACGTTTCGATGCCCAAATCAGGTGTCGTTGTCAAAAATTATTATTAAATTAAACAAAAATGTTATTGCTTGGTAAAAAAATTCTTCTAATAATTTATTTAATCTGACTCATTTATATTGGCAATTCAGACATAAATTATACATTTTAAAGTAAAAGACTTTAAAATTACTTTAAAATGATAGAAACCTTAAGATTACGTGTTTTCGACTTTGTTACATGGAATGGAAAGCTAGACGCTAAAAGTAGGCAATATAAAGAAGTTGGAAGCATTTGAGATGTGGGCTATAGAGGGTTTTGAAAATACCTGGATCTAACGAGTTACAAATGCAAAAGTGTTAAGGTTACAATGTTACAAAATGATTGCGAGGTGATAAAGAACATCAAAATAAGAAAGCTGGAATATTTAGGCCACATTACCAGAGGTGCGAAATATGAGATATTAAGGCTCATAATGCAAGGTAACATCACGGGTAAAAGATCCATAGGAAGACGAAGAATTTCCTGGCTGAGAAACCTAAGAGAGTGGTATAGTTGCAGCTCAATAGATCTTTTCCGAGCAGCCGCCAATAAAGTACGGATAGCTGTAGTGATGGAGAACCTTAGATGGGAGAAGACACTTCGACAAGAATAGGATATACATGTTGTTCTGATAGTAACATTGTACTAAAAAAATTGACAGAAGTCACTTATATTCTGTGCAAAATAAGAAATTGTATAAAGGTGAACTAAAATCAATATGATCTACTGTTCGATCGCATTGTAAAATTAAAATTTTAGCAAAAAAAATATTTATTATTTCTTGTTCTCAAGAAGTACTTTCATTATTGACAATATCGAAACAATTTATTATTAAAAGTCGAGAAGAATTAAAAACCACGTTCATATTTATATAAAAGTGCTATAAAAATGAAGGTATATTACTCTTGAAAAGAAATAATATTTTTTAACAAACAAAAGATATAGGTAGAAAAAAGAGGTTTAATAAGTGATGCCAAAAAAAGAACGGTAGACCCTATAAAGTGAATGAAATGGACACTGAAGAATTTTTTGTCTTTAAGGATCTTTCAAAAATTTTTGGGCAAAAATTCAGATAACGAAAAGGTAGTATGGAATAATATACAAATTCTTAAAGTAGGAAAGTGTTTTCCTACAAAAGTTTTTCACAAAACTAACTTTAAAGATACAACCTATAAAACTATTGACCTTTCTACTCGTCGTTGTTCTGGTAATAATGTTTTAGAGCAATATAACTTAAAACCAGCTTACGAAAAGCCTCCTACTGTAGAAGAGAAAACAAAAGAGCATTTAATCAATTTATTTCAATTTGTTGAGTTAATTTCTTGTAAGTGAATTATAATATACAATTATAATTATTAAATTTATCTAATAAATTACCTACCATTTATAACTTTGTCTGGTTTTTCATTGTTAATGTAATTGGATATTGAGTAATTTAAAAATGTAATGCAATACCGCCATGTCTTACAAATATTTATAACGGGTCAATATTTCTTGTTTTTGAAAAAACATATTCATTCGTATGCTATTGAATTACTAATATTCTAAAATGCAGTTACTTCTCTTAAAATAACTATTCTGTAGAGGAAAAAAACCCGTCACTCAATTTTCATTTGCCTCTCCTGTTAAATTTATAAATTTGCAGTTGTAGCGGTATTGAATTGGATTTGCGCCTTGTCACAGATAATACACCTATAGGGTAAGTTCGGCCCTGACACTACTCCTACCTCCTCGCAAGTCAGAGACAGAGTGAGAAATCTCGATCTCGATACGGTTTTCGAGTAACGCCATCTAGCTGTTGATACGTCTTTCGGTTACCACGAGGTGAGCTATCTAGGTGGTGGTTTATAATCAATGGTCATATGTAGATAACAATAACTGTGATATTCCAATCTTTGATTATAATAAAACAGTTAGTTTAAGCAGCTGTGATATTAGTCTAATAGATGTTTTTAATAAGTTAGAAAAATTAAATCTAAAACTTAGTAGTGGCCCTGATGAAATTTCACCTTATTTTGTACATAAATGTCGTTTTGTTCTGTCTCCTGTATTACTAAAAATTTTTCGTTTTTCATTAAGTACTGGCACTTTCCCAGAAGAGTGGAAAAAAAGTTATATTTCTCCTATTTTTAAGAATGGTAGTAAAACATGTATAGAAAATTACAGACCCATTTCCAAAATTTCTATTTTTGCAAAGATTTTTGAGTCAATTATTGCTTGAAAAATATTTTTTCCAATAAAAAGTTTAATTATTCCTGAACAACACGGCTTTATGCAGGGTAGGTCTACGACCACCAATCTAGTGATCCTAGAGGAATTCATTTTGGATGCCTTTGGGAAGGGAGCTCAGGTCGATGTGATCTATACCGACTTCTCAAAGGCATTCGATCGTGTTAACATCAAGATTCTTATAAAAAAACTAGAGGTACTAGGAATTCATGGATAGCTGCTTGAGTGGTTGGAGAGCTACCTGACAGACAGGCTTCAGGTTGTCAAAGTCCAGAACTGTCTTTCTGAAGAGATTTTGGTTAGGTCTGGCGTCCCACAGGGTAATCATTTATCGACTATTCTTTTTATTTGTTTCATAAATGATATTTTAGAAATCTTTGAAAATTGTGTTATTTTGTTGTATGCTGATGATTTGAAAATTTTTAGAATTATTAGGGATGTTAGAGACTGTGTAAAAATGCAAAAAGATGTAAAAAATTTCTCAAAATGGTGTACAAAGAATGACCTTTCACTTAATATCGATAAATGTAAAATAATGCGCTTTTTTAAAAACTCACAACCTATCTGTTTTAATTACTCTATAAATAATATATTTCTGGAACCAACAAACACTTTCAAAGATTTAGGTGTATTTTTTGATCCCACTTTACCTATGTTTCAAAAATCACTATAATTTTATTTGTAATAAAGCTTTTAAATTACTTTAATTTTTGAAAAGAACCTTGTCAGAATTCAATAACCTAGATTGTTTTAAAAGTGTGTATTGTTCTATGGTTAGATCAGTTCTGGAATATTCCAGCACTATTTGGTCTCCTTTATATAAATGTCATATTGAAAGCATTGAGAAAGTTGAGAAAACATTTTTGAACTTTGTAGGCTATAAAATTAGGAATTTCTTCAGAAGATATAGTGTATTGTGACCTTTTAAAATTACTTAATATACCAACATTAGAAAATCGTCGTTTAATGCTAGATTTGGGTTTTCTTTTCAAGATTGTAAACGGAATGATAGATTCACCCCAAATTTTGCAGAGAATAGGTCTTAGGGTTCCTCAAAGGTGCACAAGATCCAAGGATGTTTTTCACTTAGAATTCCAACAAACAAACTATTGTCTAAATAGACCTATAAGACGAATGTGTCAATCTGGAAATGGTTTAGATGTAGACTTTTTTTCTAGCTCTCTGAATAGTTTTCGAAAAAAGCTGAAAAAATCTTTTTAAAATACAATGTAGGCTGTCACTGTAAACTGTCATTTAGGTATTTATTCTATTTATTTGTCTTGTGTAAATTGTATGTAATTATTATTGAATTCTAAAACTGTTAATATGATATGATTTACCCTTAGACATACGAACATTTGTATTTGTTATATTGGTAATGCTAAAGGTAAAAGGGGATGGTAAATGTATGCTGAAATTTGAAATATTTATGTATGACTTCCTACTCACTTTATAATGCTGTAATCAACGAAAAAGATGATATTGAGATCATAACAAAACAAATATCACAATAATTGCTTGTCTTACCTGAGTTATCTTCGAATTCATTCTTCAGATCCTCAAGATCTGTTGTGGTGGATAACTGACTCTCAATATATCTTAGATCACTATCAACAAATCCTTCCTTAATTTCAGCTTTTATTTCCATAGCTAATAAATACAAATTAGATCACATTGTTTAGCACTAATATTACATATATTACCTGAGTTATCTTCTGGTTCATTCTTCAAACCTCCAAGATTTGTGAATGAAGATAACTGACTCTCTATATATCTTGGATCACCTTTAATAAGCCTTTGCTTAATTTCAGCTTCTATTTCCTTAGCTAATAAATACAAATTAGACCACATTGTTTAACAATAATTTTACTTGTATTACCTGAATTGTCTTCTGGTTCATTCTTCAAATCTTCAAGATTTCTGGATAAATTTAACTGCACATTTAACTGACTATTTATATATCTTAGGTGACATTCCTCAAACTCTTCCTTAATTTCAGTTTTTACTTCCATAGCCACTAGGTGACTAGATCACCACTAGATACAAATACAAATTAGTGAAATTAGAGTTAAGTGTTAGTTAGAATCATCGAGTTAGAATCTACCAGAGATATGTAAGATATCACTGGAATCTACAGTCTACAGTCATAGATAAATAATATAGTATATACGTCTACAGTATCATGACCTACATCGAGTTTCTAGAGCCAGAATCATAGATTAAATATATGGCTAGAATACAATTCGTCTTCGATGCTCGCGCATCCATGTAATGTCAAATATTTTACTACTTAGGTACCAGATTTGATTTGTTAATATTTTGAAATTACAGGCTACTTAATGATTTCATTCCTTTAAATCAGAGTCAGAACGATAATGATAGAAAATATGCCGTTAAAAATATTGCCTAGATTTTACTAGAAAAGGTCAATTGCGATTTCCGCAAGTGGTGTGGTCCTTAAGTAATTGTACAAAAAGTAGCCCTAGATTCTACACTTTAGAATATTACGATTTAAGGCAAATTGCTTTAATAGAGAGAATTATAAATTAAGAAAGATACAGGGTGTTAAAGTGAAAATCTATAATTTTAATTTTCACTATAACTTTCATGTTTGTGAACATTTATGTATCAAATTTTATAACTGGGTAAACCTGTGCTATTAGGGTTGTAATATTGGTTGTCTACAGTTCAAGAGACAATCTAATAAAAGAGAAATCAGATCTTAAATTACTAAAACTACAAAGTATACACAACAGTAGGTAATGTGTGTAATAAACTCTTAATTCACATTTTCTGTTGTAAAATTCTTCTTTGTAGATAGCGACATAGAAAATAACTGTTTACACATATATTCAAGGCTCTTGACTCAACTTGACATAAAAACCGTTTGTTTATAATTTTAAAATATCTACAAGATATGAATGACGGTTACTTTGAAACCGCCATTTAGTATTTTATAAAAATGTTTTCCGCTACAAAATATACACCTACACCAAGAAAATTAAGAAGAGAAAAAACTACAGTCTCTACATCCAGCTCAGATGCAGAAAAAGATCCTGTTCATGTATATTGTAGACTGCGCCCACTAAGAGACTCCGATACAAATACTTGTATGAATCTGTTGTCTCCACAAGAAATTTGTGTGTCCAGTGAATCTAAAGGTGTTAGAAGAGATATATCCTACAAATTTAGACATATTTTTACTGCATATTCTACACAAAAAGAAGTTTTTGACCATGTAGCTTATCCTTTACTGGATGACCTTTTAAAAGGGAAAAATGGGTTATTGTTTACGTATGGTGTGACAGGCTCAGGAAAAACGTATACTTTAACAGGTAACTAGTAAATATTGTTTAAAGAATATCTTATGTATGTATGTCAGGATTAGGATATGATATTTTCTCTCCCATCCTTTTACTAAATCACCTCTACTTGTGTTTTCTTTATTATTTGAATTCCGGTAGTCATACATTACATTATTTCTCTTTTTGTACATTTATTTGTAGCGTTTTTTTATTTAATGTGCATATAAAGGTTTCTGTAGTAGGTTCCTGTTGTTTTTACCAAGAAAACAAGGGAAAAAATATTTCAAGTTTTTTTTGACGAGATTTTTAAATGCGTATTAACGCTGGAAATATGTTTTTATCTCTGTGTTGCAATGTTAGGTGAAACAACAAGTTTTTTGTCGCCAAAGAGGTATTATGTTACATGAAGTCCCCCTAATATTCTGGTTAGAATAATCAATAATGCTTCTACCAATTCAAAAGTAAATATAGATGTTTTTTTCTGTGTTTAGATTCAAATATCGAACTCTTTGTTACATTGTCAGGTAAAAATAAAGATTTTTTATGGCAGTTCGTTGAGACGAACAAGGGGAAGATGGTTTGTTTTTAAGTTTGTGGGTGACAGGCTAGCTGCAAGACGGAAGGGAATTTATTTTGGCTTTGAATTGGTAAAATGAAACGCGGATGAGGAGTCGACATTTAAGTTCCAAGCAGGGCAGACGTGTGACAATGTAAGTGGAAGAACAGATTTGAAACGGTGGTAGACGCTTTTGCGGATATATAATGCTGGGGCAATTGTGAATTGAAGAGTCAATTCAATTTTTTAGTAATGTCTTAAGACCAGTTAAAGTAATGATACACTTTGCTTTGCATAAGCAGCTTTGTCAGAGTGGTCATTGGACTTGAATGGAAACTGGCAATTTTTGAGAAGTATGGTATAGAATGTCCCCGTAAGTCAACTTGATTCCTCCACCAAGTTCCTGTTTAGATCGTTCCTGCCTGAGTAGGAAATAGTTTCCTGTTTTTCATTTTGAAAATCTGTCCAAGTAGCTTCCCAGAGATGTAGCAAGTTTTTCCTTTTCAAAGTTGAGTGAAACATGTGAGAAATAAGTTAACTTTTAATATATTAATTTTTTTCCAAGTTAGAAAGACATTTTTAATAATTGCTTTCATTAAAATAAAAGGATTTGTAATTATTAAAGTTTTATATTATTTTTGTCGTATTACTTGTTATATTTGTTATTCTTTACAGCATCTCAAGTTTCTCTGTATATAGACAATTCTACTGACATACAAAAATATTGCCCAACAGATCTATTTACATATAGATTATTTTCTGAAATTAATATGTGGAAAAATAATAAAGTAGGTATATGTACATATTTATGGTTTTAGGTGATCATAATAATCCCGGAATTATGCCCAGATGCATTAACACCATATTTAATTCCATTGGTGAATTTCAAACACCAAAATTTATTATAAAGTCAGACAGAATGAATGGTTTTGAAATACAAACTGAAGATGATGCCATGCAAGACAGATTATCAGAAAATCGATTTATATCTAAGACTCCTAAAAGTGCTAGGAAAGTCAATGGTGATAAAGTCTTTACCAATGATGGCAATAGAATCCCTGTTTTAAATGAGATGAATGCCTATGCAGTATTTATTTCTTATGTAGAAATATACAATAACAATGTTTGTGATCTACTGGATGATTCTACCAGTGGAAAAACTTTACAAAACAAAATATTGAGAGAAGACCAAAATCGTAATATGTATGTAAATGGAGTTGTAGAAGTAGAAGTTAAAACAGCCCAAGAAGCTTTTGATTTGTTTGCTATAGGTCAAAAACGTAAAAAGATGGCTTATACCAATCTGAATTCAGAGTCTAGTCGTAGTCATTCTGTTTTTAATATTAGAGTTGCACAGTTGGAAAAAATAACAACAAATGAACAAGGAAAAGTTGTTATACCAGAAAGGAACTTCCTTACTGTGTCCCAGTTAAGTTTGGTAGATTTAGCAGGTTCTGAAAGGAGCAATAGGACTCACAATACAGGAGCAAGGTATATATATTTAATTATATTTTTTTGGTGATATTTATATTACATTTTAATCAGTATTCTTGTGAATTATTTTAAATATTTGAAAATGAAAATGTCTTCTAGTTGTGACTTAACTCTCATTCAAACTTATCTATCCTGGTCAACAAAATTTACAATCTTTTTGGTTTATTTATTTCTTATTTTAACATTACAACCTTTTATTCTCAGATTAAAAGAAGCTAGTTGCATAAACAATTCACTAATGAACCTAAGAACCTGTTTGGAGATCCTTAGAGAGAATCAGCGTCTCAAGGGCAATAAAGTGGTACCTTATCGTGATAGTAGACTTACTTATCTCTTTAAAAATTATTTTGAAGGAGATGGAAGTGTTCAAATGATAGTCTGTGTAAATCCATCTCTATCTGATATGGAGGAGAATATCCATGTGATGAAGTTTGCTGAAATGACTCAGGATGTTAAGATTCTTAAGTCGGAGCCTAGGGCAACTCCAATTTCAACTAAAAAGGTAGTATATGTTAAATATATATGTCATAATAATGTATAAAAGATTTAAAATGAAGGCTCGAATATAGGAAAAAAGGAACTAAATGTTTTAACTCTTTCAGATCCGGTGTCCATTGCAATGGACATACATTTACATAATCCCTACAACAAAATTAAACTCTTGTAAATTGCGACAACTACTATTTTTTATTTTCCATATCTCAGTTACTACTAGTCTTAAGATTTTTAGTTTAGTTTGAATCATAGCAGGGTTAAGTGCTTTTAAAAATAGTGTGAAATAGTAAATTCACAATACCCCGGAAAGCGTAAGTAAATATTATGTTTATTCAATTCATAAATTTATTATATGTTACCAAATAATATTTTATATAATAGTAGACATATCAATTTTTATACTACTTATTCCACATAGATGATTTATAGTTGTTTTTTGTCAATATCAAACATTAAAATATGATGTCCATTGCAATGGACTACAGGTCTATGTTCATATTTTTGTTTTAGGTTTTAATCTGGATAATCAAAAAGACCAAGAGATTCTAGGGTTTTTTTTTAGATGATGACGATGAATTTAAACAATTAGCTAATAATGTTTTATCTCAAATTGAAGATCAATGAGACATAGAAGATGTCTGTAATGAAGAAATCGATGCGGACATTTCTGTTAAATTCTCAACTCTATAAGGAAAATATATACTCTGTTGGAACTATAAAAATTAACAGATTCCAGAAATCTCCATTTACAACAGATAAATAATTACAAAAAAAAGAATGGAGATATAGCAAAGAAGTGGTAAATGATAAAGGAACTGTGGTTTTATGCAAATTGTAAGATAATAAGTCTATGCTTGTAGGTTCGAATTTTGTTGGAAAAGTAAAGAAGACTTAGTAGAAAGATGGGATAAGAAGCAAAAGAAAAAAATAACGATTCAGAGACCGCAAGCGATTCAATTATATAATAAATCAATGGGAGGTGTATATTTACTAGATCAACTATTGTCATATTATAGAATCTTTATCAAGTCAAAAAAATGGACATTGCATTTAATCTTCCATGCCTTTGATTTTGCTTGTGCCAATAGTTGACTAGAATATAAAAGAGAACTGCTTAGTTTACTTTCCAAAGATCAAATAGATTTGTTGGATTTTAAAATAAAAATTGTTAAGGTGCTAATTAAAGTGGGAAATTAAATAGAAAGAAGCATTGGTTGTCCCAAAATGTCAAATGAGAATTGTCCCCACACTCCAGAGTGGAAATTAGACCATTGAAGGAAATAGGGATCGATAAAATAGATCATTTATCCAAGTATGACAACAAAAAGGAAGCATCCAGATGCAAAAATGTTGGGTGTAAAGGGAAAACGCATGTTTTTATGTTTTGTAAAGAACAAAAATTATTTCAAATAGTTTCATTTAAATTAACTCAACATTTGCTTGGTTCAAATATACTATATTTAATAAAAATTTCGTATATGAATATTTTCCTAAATTCTTATTATAGCCCAATGTCCATTGCAATGGACATTTTGTCAAATGACTACCTGTTAACAAAAATGTCAAAAATATGATTTTAGCAGATTAAAATCTTCCATTAAGAAGATTCAATAGAAAAATAATTTTTTTTCTGCAGAGAAAAAGTCAGGTCTGAAAGGGTTAACGTGAATAAAATATATTTGAATCGACACAGAGAAGAAAGTATTCATTACTAATATTAACAAATATTTCCACAGACATGTCAGTAATTGTTCATTATTTATAGAAAATAATTTAATACTGCTATGTCATTTCAATTAAACATTTTTAAAAGTTAGATAAACACATTGAGGGTGTTTTCTATTATAAAATTTAACACTTTTTGCCCTCAATATTTTAATGTAGCATAACGGAAAGCGATATACAAAATTCTTTGACCTCAAATAACTGCATAAGTTAACCCTCTGACTTCCTTTCGTGGAGTTATTTAAAACAAAAGATTTATGACTCATTGTCACTTTTACCATCTAATAGAACATCTCTCATCCTTTTTTGCTCTATGGAGAAGCTACTGGCAGTGCCATTTTTGGTATTTGTTAGAAAATGAGACTCGATACAACTTTTGCCATCTAATTAACATTTTCTATCCTTTATTTGCTCTCTACAGAGAATACTGGGGGCAATGTTTTTGTTATTTGATAAGTAGTGAGCCTCAGTATCATTTTTGCCCTCTAAAAGAACATCTTTGATCCATTTATCGCTCAGTACATAGTAGTAGTGTATTTTATAGTGCTATTGCTCACATAATTTGATTAAATGTAAGTTATAGTATGATTTGAAAAAAATCGGCTTGATTTTATATTAAAATTAAGTAAATGTTAATTATATAAAAATCTGCTTTGTACTAAATTTATTAGATCATGCAGAGCTGTTTATAAATTTTATTGTTAAATTTTGTAGGTCATTTCAAAGAGAGTTGCAACGCCAGCAAGGATTAAAAAAGGTGGACTATTCTCTGTTGTACCAGAAATACCCGTTTTCAAATTTGATTTCAATGAAGTTGAAGAATGTGGCTCTATTATAAATAACATACTAATGGTTCTAAAACATTCCAAATCAAAACACAAGGACCTCGATATAGAAATAAAGAAAACTGATAAAGACTTACGAAAACGACTTGTTGATTTTGATGCAAAAAAAATGGGCAATAAAGTTGAGATTAGAAATTTGACTAATCTGCTTCAGAGGCAACAAACAAAGAATAATAATCTAGACGGGAAAGTTGCTCGACTGGAAACTGAAGTTTGTACTTTGGTTACTAGAAATAAAGAATTACAGGATATTATCAAATCTTTGCACAACAAAGTTAACGAAAAGGTTGGTATTTAATGGCAGTTATTCATTTTAGTTATGTAACATATAAGTTAAAGTATGCATTTGACCATTTGTCTAGCTGCGTCACAATCAAGAAGCAGAGGGAAGTTTATTCAATCTGTTCTGATATGATTAAGGTTTTACCAAATCTTACAGAGGCAATCAAATCCATGTGGTTTATCTGAGGTGGAGTGTAAGCTATTGTAGTATGGCTATATTCTGCTTTTCAATTCTTCCCTCCATTTGGCATCTATGTCAAAGTTGGATTGATGGAGAGCTTGAACAGACTTCAGAGCAGACTCTGCACTTGTGTTGTGGGGGTGGTATTGTACTTTTCTAGCTATTGTTTTATACTAATATTTCTGTTTGCTAGCTTTTTGTTAAAATTGAAACTAGGTATTTTATGTTCTTCATATATCATATTCACATTGCTGAGATATATGGATAATGTAGAGGCTGAAAAGTAAAAGGGCAAACACATACCATTGTGGAATGCCATTATAATATTCATCTGTTTGTTTCTCTTATTCTCCACTATTACAACAAGGTTTCGTTTAGAAAACAAGTTATCAATGAGGTAGAATTAGTTTATAAATTAATCTCTTTATGATTTTGTGGAAAAGCTTTTCTAACAGTTTATATACCACACTTAGTGTGACCAACTCCAATTCAATCGAATTCGGGACAAGGCTAAAAAATACCTGAAATCCGGGACTTCTCAATGAAAATCGGGCCACTTTTTATTTTTACTACTGTAATACCATCATTTTATTGATTATTTAACATATTTATATTATCAATGATATTTTTGATGGGATTAAGCCATAATTGGTTATAATAATTTTATTTTTGTTAGTTTTTGACGTTTCGACGTCCAATCCAGAAATCATTCTCACAAAAGGAAAAATTAGAAAATCAACTGATGTTGGATTTCCATGTTAATGTAACCTTAGGCTAACATAAGAGATAAAACCAACAGCTTCAAAACATTTAAAAATCAATCCATTCATTTTTAATCAATGAAAAAACGCAGTCAACGTTCGCAGAAGTAGCTGGTAAACAAAAGATGAATTCAATAATTCGTGCAAAGCGTTTGTACGGAACGTGATTCGGCTTGGTAGCGAGTGTAGCCCATCCAAATGTGAGTGCATCTTTAAACTGTGATTTAAACTATTCGAGATAATCAATGCAAGTTTGATAAAATACAAGTGCTCTTTGCAACACTGTTTGTTTATCAATACCGAGGTCCGCGTATACTTTATTTACTTCGTTCAATATAGCTGACAACAGGAACTGGAAGGAATCCACTCTTGTTTTCTACTGCCCGTTTGAAAATCTTAGCTTATACAAAAAAAAAACAATTGCAGTTCAGGTTAGATTCAAATATTCAAGTCATGAAGTGATTAAAAGTAATTTTTGAACATGTTACTTGATATGGTTTTACGTTATGCAATTTTCATGCTAGGCAAGCTGATTATGCAACAGCGCATGCCTACGCACTATTTTCATGCAAATCCTGTGCTATAGGAAAAATTAAAACATGTTCAATTTTTTAATACTATTTTGCTGCAAGTTGCTATCAACTTTCATATTGCCAGTATAATAAAATTTATAGTTTACAATAAAACTAAACATTATCACATATTATTGTGTAAGTTTATAATATTATTTATTGGATGTGATAATTTTTGATTTATATTTTAATATATTTAGTGTTGGACTGAAATTTCCAGGTGAAATATATGTTAATGTTTTGGTATATTTCTTTTGTTGTCAAGAATGAACAACAACCAAACTTTCGAACATCGTCCTTGAAAAAATCCTTTAGTAATTTTGGGCCATTTTCAGTTTCCAGAAAATACGCCTTTAATCCATCATAAACTCGTAAGATTGATTGCACGCATGTGAACATGTCCAAAAAGCGAGTTTTCCCATACTTAACCAAGAATTTTCTGGTATTCAACGTTTATGGTTTCAAAAAACTTTTTCAAATGTGTGACACGAACAGTGAAACGATAAAAATGTGAATAGATTTTAGTTTGTAGTAAACATTGTTTTGCCCACCTCGGTTTTTACCACCAAAATTAGTATTAGTATTTTCGCCGCAGAATGAAACTAACTTTCTTGACATGATGTACTTTTCACGAGTGTTCTTCAAGAGCTGCAAAATAATATCAGATGTTTCCCCATCTTCAGCGGTAAAATTCAATATTTTCATCTTCATGCCTTCTAATGAAACGAAATATCTCACCACAACCGGGAACATCTTTACTTTCCATGGTTAGATGCTTCGGTAATTATCCTGACATATATTGCGTTTTTTATTGCATCAACCTATTGATTTTCGATGTACGGGTCAAAGACATTTTTAACAATTGCCTCATATTTAGTACCCGCTGACGGAAATTTGGTCCGAATTTGGAAAAATCCAAAGCAATTCCGAAATATTTTCGATGAGCAATTAGCTGAGCGAAAGTTTTCATTTTCGTTAATCATATGATACGCCCAAACACCTTCCCGAGCTGCTCTCTAAATCAATATTGCTCGATGTTGCTGTTGCCTGTAAAAATTCAGTCAATTTTTTGCTGCTTGCCGCGGAGCTAACACCTCTTTAGCGTTTTTTACTTTTGATGTGACTCACTACATCCGCTCTACCACTGTGGGCGATCGAAAATTCGGATCCACAAGTATCACATTTTACGTCACTATTGCTTTTTTTTTCAAAAATGGGAATTCTTGCAATATTTTTTTAAAAGTGCAATAGCGTTTTCTCTTTTTACTTTCTTGTTCTTGTTCCATATTAAAAATAGAATGGAATGAAAAATGTAAAGTCAACTAAACAATGCTTCGGACCTACGTAGATGATCACTAATCTATTTGAAGCTTTAAACTTATTTGTGACATAAAATAAATGTTTACATATAATCATATTGCAACACTATTGCACTCGCTTCTTTTGGGTCTCTTCATGTTGATACGATATGGGACGCAATCTTTGACGAGATTTTATCCTCTAGAGATTCCGGTCAGTTAGCTCCTCCGACTTTTCACAAAAAACACCATGTCTGGCGGCCTGATTTTGTTAATTCATTGTTTTCAATACTGTCTGTCAACTTTTGACGTCCAGCCAATAGATGTTGTGTAAAAACTCGTCGACTATTTCTCAGTGTGTAGTTGCTTTTGCAGAACTTATTACTTTGTGACCTCATTGTTGGTGTAGCAACCGATGTTAATAAGAATAGTGTGATAGAGTGCTTCTTGAAATTGTTAGTGGCCTATCATTGATATTTTTTAGTGACAAAGCATAAGTCTGGGTCATAATCCTTTCTGCCAGCCACCACATATGTACATATTTGAAAATATTTCTTTTGAAGCGATGTAGCATACATTTTTAAAATGCTTTTGTTTGTTGATATTTTTCTAATAAATTCTAAATAAAACATACATTTGCAAACTAATAATTTTTTAAGTTTACAGAGTATTTTGTATAATGCATTACAATTTAAAGATATTATGTATTTACCAAAAAAAAGCTACAAAGTGGCAATACGATTTTATTATTTTTTTTTTACTGTAATTGTAACAAATAATATTACTGATTTTAGGATTTAAAACTGAATCAAAATATATTGGAAAGAGAACGCACTAAACAAAAAATAGCACTAGCTAGCGAACAAATGAGCCAAGAACTTGACGCTAAGCTGAAGAAACAACGAGAACATCTTAATGCGGCGATGCTAGCTAAAGAAATTCAGCTGAAAAAGGTCAGAGAAGCTTTAGAAACTGAAGTTATCATTGATACGAATGATGTAGCGATCGAAAATATCCCACCGTCTTCTGTACTAACTCCGAAAACGAATTCGGATTATTCCCACAGAAATATGACACCCTATACACCAAAATCAAGGAGGAGATCGAAATCTGCTGGAGAAGAGGTAAGTTAAATGATGTTTTAAATGTCAGTTTAAAATAAATGTACTCCTTGTTTTTTTCTTTTGCCAAAAATTTAATTCAAAAGAAAATAACTCAAGAATTCTGGTAGACATAGCTGATCATTTTTACCATCAGAATTTTCAGCTTGTTTTCCATTTATTTTAAAGTGTGCTAACAACAATATCTTACTTGTTGTTCATTAAGACTGGACATAAGTCTTGGACATAAGGAAGGGGTCATTTGACCTCATAAAGCTTTCAACACTGCTACCTGAAAGATCTGTGGGTATCCTAGATTTACATTTATTGCAATACTGATAATTTTGTGGCAAATTGCTTTAGGTAATTGGTTAGTTTTTCCTATCTTTAAAATCATCATCATCATTGGCTCCACAACCCATGGTGAGTCTTGACCTGCTTAAGGATAAGTCTCCATTCTCTCCTATTCTTCGCCTTGGCTTTCCAGCTTCGTACTCCCAACATTCTCAAGTCTTCCTCCACCTGATCCTTAAATCGTGCTCTAGGTCTGCCTCTCCTTCTCACTTTATCTATTCTTTGGTTATCCTATCGGTAAACCTTCAATATCTTTTCAGAGTCATCATCATCTTTGGCTCGACAATCCTCTGTGGATCTTGGCCTGCTCTAAGATTCGTCGCCATTCTGTTCGGTTTTTGGCAACATGTTGCCATCTTCTGATTTTTAATATTCGTAGGTCGGTTTCTACTCCATCTAACCACCTAATTCGCGGTCGGCCTTTGCTTCTTGTTCCTACAGGTGTTCCTGTGGTTAGCTTTTTAGCAATGGTATTTTCTGGCATTCGTATTATGTGTCCAGCCCATCTAAGTCGCTGTGTTTTAATGAACGTTATGACATCTGGCTCATCAAAGAGCTGATACAATTCAAAATTATATCTTCTGCGCCACTGCCCTTGGTCGTTTACAGCTCCAAATATTTTGCGGAGTATTTTACGCTCAAATATTCCCAAAAGTCTTTCATCTTTCTGCGTTAATGTCCATGTTTCTGCTCCATATGTGAGGACCGGCCTCAGCAATGTTTTGTATATAATAATTTTAGTTCTTCTTTGAATGTTTCTTGAGTGGAAATGCTTTTGGAGTCCATAGTATGCTCTATTTGTAAGATTTATTCGTCTTTTGATTTCTTCGCTTGTTTTATTGGTAGCAGTCAATAGCGACCCAAGGTATGTGAAGTTGTCAACACGTTCAAAGGTATGACTTCCAAAGACTGTTTCTCGTTCCTCATTTGCTGTCGGATCCTTTGTAACCAACATGTACTTGGTTTTGTCTTCGTTGATGACTAGACCGACTTGTTTCGCCGCTGTTTCCAATTCTAGGAGATATTGCTCAACATCTCGCTTGCTACGCCCTATTATGTCAATGTCATCAGCATATGCTAAGACTTGTATCGATCTATTGTAAATAGTACCGCCGTCCCTAATCCGTGTATCTCGGACTGCCTTTTCTAAGGCAATATTAAATAGGAGGCAAGCCAGAGCATCTCCTTGTCTGAGTCCATCCTTTATCTCAAAGGATCTAGAACTCTCTCCCTGTATTCTAACAGTGGCTTCTAAGTTAGACATTGTCATTCTCGTTAGTCGGATAAGTTTCTCTGGTATACCAAACTCATGCATTGATTGGTATAGCACTGTTCTCTTGACACTGTCATATGCTGCCTTGAAGTCGACGAATAGGTGATGGGTTTCAATATTGAATTCTAATGTTTTCTCGAGAATCTGTCTTATTGAATGAATCTGGTCAATTGTTGATTTTTCTGGAGTGAATCCAACTTGATATTTACCAACTATGCCCACTGTGTAAACTTGCAACCTTTCGTAGAGAATATTTGCTAGTATTTTGTAAGCAGTTGTTAACAGGGTTATACCTCTATAGTTGTCACACTGGAGCTGGTCACCTTTTTTATGTAACGGGCATATCACGCCTTGAGACCATTCACAAGGCATGGTCTCATTATGCCAAACAAGAAGTAAAAGCTTATGCAGTGTCTGTAGTAGGGCATCGCCACCATTCTTGTAGAGCTCACTGCAAATTTGATCAACTCCTGGTGATTTATTATTTTTAAGCTTTTTAATGGCTTTTTTAATCTTTTCAGAGTATCCTGTCAAAAAACGTTTTAAAGATGAAGAGTGCGCTTTTTTATGCAATTTAGCATTTAGTAGCAAATGAAATCAATTTCTATAAAAGTGTTGAATAAATAAACTTTGCGCGATTTTTGCCATTTTTTGAATTCTCATGAGATCATTAAAATTTATCACTTCCATTAACCGGTCTCTATAAAATTTTATTGTTGAAGTGAATTCTTCAAAATCTATGACATGAAATTGAGATTTTGATTTTTGGCGAGAAATGTGAGGCAGTTGAAATATGCCTAAAACACGCAGAACTTAAACTTATACATTACAAACCATTGCACGTCACGAAAAATACTTCTATGAAGACTATATTGCGACAAACTTGTTTTGAAAAGAAGCAGTTTTAAATGGTTTAGATCGTTTTTTTTTCTTTAAGGTTCCATTCCCGCCTCAAATGATAAATTATATGGCACATTTTCAACAATTTTTTTTCTATCTATCTTATTTATTATATATGACAATTAAACTTGTTTTTTTATTATTATACAACTTTTGAAGATCACAAAATTTTTTTTTTGTTTTTTCATTGTTCGTGTATTTCATAGATGATGCCAAAAATTTGTCGTCCAAAAATTACTGCTCCATGGCGGACAGTTAATAAAACATAAAATTTGAGACGGGTTTTAAAAAAGAACTGCACTTATGATATAATTTACCAGAAAAATTAAAAATTCTTAAAAAAAAACAAAATGGCGGACATTTGAAAAAATTGTTAAAAATTAACCTTTTTTCGAATGTTTTCAGTCACAAAAATTTTATTTTTTTGTGTCAAATATACAAAATAGTATATCAAAGTTTATTAAAATCGACCAACTAGATTCGGAGATTAGATTTTAATAAAACCTTGATGCTTTTTGTTTGTTGTGGTTTTTTCTATGATAGCATACCACAAACTGACAAAAAAGAAAAGAGAATGTTTGCAACTGAAAAAATGCTAAAAAAAGATAAATTTGTTAACAATTCAGTAATTCAAATGTTCGCCATTTTGTTTTTTAAGAATTTTTAATTTTTCCGTTAAACTATTACATAAGGGCACTTCTTTTTTATAACCCTTCCCGAATTTTATATTTCAGGTTTGTCTTTCCAGAGATTAACTGTCCGCCATGGAGCAGTAATTTTCGGATACAAAAAAGTTTGATTGTTTGTTATATATAATAAGATAAGATGCAAAAAAATTGTTCAAATGTGTTATTTTTAGCATTCTAGACGCTAACAGTATATTTATGAAGCATACTGTGTGTGTAGAGGAAAGGGATGTCCTTAGATATGGTCTATTAGCCACAGGATTCATTTTTATTCATACACATATACACTTCATCTAATTTATATAACGATGCACGTCATCGGTGTCATAGCCTGTGACGTCATATGATACCAACACGAAATATTTAGGGTTTTAGGTGTGTTCTTTTTAGAATAACTTTACTGAGTACACTGGCATTACAGCCACTAGACATATTTTATTATATACGCGTAGAAATAATATTTAAAAATTTCTATTAATGTTAACTAAAAGAAATACACAATAATATGTTTCATTTAATTTGTATAAATCCATTATAAAGAGTTTTTATCAAAACATTTGTTCGGAACACACTGTAACTGTAATCGAACGAAGGTAAAATTTTGGCATAAATTGGTAACACTTATTTGACAGTTGCAGTGTTGACACTTTTTGTACTTTATTATTTTGAATTTTAAAGTAAATACCTCTTGTTTTATATTTTTACTTATTTAATGAAATCTGTTCTTTTTAAAACAAAATTAGTGTGTTTTATTTCAAAAATGTCACGTAAGAATTTAAATAGTCGTTGTAAAGAGATGGTAATACTTTTTCAATAATTATGTGGCCTATTTGATTTAAAATGGAGTCAGAATTTTTTTATACTTTGGTAACTATGTGAACTTCGATCTCTGACGTAGATAATGACGTAAGTCGTTATCTAAATTAGATGAAGTATAGGTACATATTAGGTGCTTATAAGGTTAAATATCGCTTTTAGCTTCTTTAACGTAATTTATTATTGCATCTAAAACGCGTATATTATGGCTTGATAATAGAGAACCAATGTTCAGAGGAAGAGAAGTATTGTATTCTATTAGAGAATGATATAGTCTAGAGATAGCCGTATCATTTTTTTACACTCCAGAAATATGTGATTAATATCACCTATGGACATGTTACAGTCACATAACGGGGAGTTTTTAGTATCCCTTATTAATGAAGGTGTACCGGAAAACGGCCATGATTCAATTTTAAGTGTGTTACTGTTTAAGTATATCTTTTATATAATCAAAAGTTATGTCCGGTGTTCTATTTGGAAGCTGTGGGTGAAGCTGGAAATAGATTTTTCGTTGTCTTTAATAGCTTTTTTTATAGTGTGCACCATAGTAGACTTTTTTATCTCGATAAACTCAGCACTGTAAATAGAGAGTGTATCTGCTAGTCTTTAAATCTCCAATAAGGTGTTGTAAGGTTACAAGTATTAATACAAGCTATTTTTTGGATCCTATTCGTATTAAATGCCCTGTATGTAATTATTTGTTTTTCAGCTAAATACTGTCTACATACATTTAACGGAGATTCTTGTATTTCTGCAAGGACTGCTTGGTTAGGCGAGGACATTATTAGACCCATACAAATTTTTAAAGCGGTTGAGTTTACCGAAAGTATAAGCTGAATATAGCCGCAAATGTCACAAATATTTCGGTCTGGCAGTGTTGGTATGTTTTTATAATGCATATGTTGTATGCTTCAAATATAAAGAGATAAAGCTTTTAAAAAGTACATTTCGATTATACTATTTTATGAATTTTGCAATTTTTAATTTATCTG